TCATTGGGCATGGGGCGCGCTCCATGGGGCATGGGGCAGGCCCCATGGTGAACAGGGCATGGGGCACGCCCCATTGGCCATTCAGCATGCGGCATGCCGCATTGGGCATGGGGCATGCCCCATGGGGCATGGGCCATGCCCCCTGTGGCCCGCGACATCGGCCCTCGCGAATAAATGACAAAGTGGTTGGGGTCGCCACTTGGGGCCGCTGTATGGCCGAATTGAAGGAACACAACAGCTCGCCCAGCGGGGAAAAAAAAAAAAGATTTCGGCGTGGCCTGGCGGAGCACCATGCAAGGCCAAATTGGTAAACACAATCTTCTGCCCGCGAACAAAAACACCATGTTTTTGGCGTGACCGCGCGGGCCCGTCGCCGTTCCCGCATGAACAAACACAAAGGCGCGCCCAGTACCAAAACACAAAGACTCCAGGGCAGCCACGGTGGCAACCGCGCGACACAAACCAGAAAACGCAACGCCGTGGGCCACTAATACAAAACACAAACATCGCAATGTACCGCGCGACCCCCCCCCCCCCGCGCGAGCCACTGCAGAACCAAAACCAAAACAAAAAAAGCCTGGCCGCCGCCGCGCAAGAAAACGCCGCTGGCGCCAGCCATTTGTCCCTCGGGAATCATAAGAATCCATAGGAATCCCTAGGGAATCCATAGAAAATCCCCTGGGAATCCTAAGACTCCATCGGGACCCCTAGGAAATCCTAGGAATCCCTCGGAATACATTATAATCCCTGGGGAATCCGGGGAATCCTAAGAATCTGAAGGAATCCTCAAGAATCCATCAGAATCCCGACGGAATCCTTGAAATTCTAAGGATCCTACGAAATTCTCGAAACCCATTGGAATCCCTAGGGGCTCCCCGGAATCCGATGGCTCCTTAGGAATCCCTCGAAATCTATAACAATACATCGGCAATCCTCGCAATCGAAAGAATCCGATGGAATCCATCAGAATCCCCAGGGAACCCTTAGAGAATCCTAAAAATCCTAAGGAAACCATGGGAATCCCTAGGGAATCCTAGGAATCCTGGGGAACCCATAGGAACCCCTAGGGAATCCAAGGAATACATAGGGATCCCTAGGGAATCCTGTGACTCCTTAGGAATCCTTGCGAACCCATCGGGATCTTAAGAATCCGGGGGAATCCTTAGGAATCCAACAAAAAAAAATCGGACTCCCGGGGAATCCTAGGAACCTTGGGAATCCGAGGGAATCCGACGAATACATAGGAACCCGTAGGGAATCGTAGGGACCCGATGACTCCCTAGGAATCCCTAGGAATCCGTATAGGAATCAATAGGAAATCCGAGGAATCCTCTGAATCCGAGGAACCCCAAAGGAATCCCGTAGGATCCAGATGGAACCCCATGGATCAATATGAAATTCCTACGAACCCCATGGAATCCCATAGGATCCCTATGGAATCCCATAGGAGCGACGCCGCGGGCGGAGAGGGTTATTTAAGTTTTTTGTTCTTTGTTTGGGGGGGCAAAGGACCACGCGACGGGGTCCACGGGTAGGGCTTCTTCGAACAACAACGACAACAACCACAACAACAACAACAACAACAACAGCAACAATCATTTAAGACTGGGGACACTCCGTTCTCACCAGTGCCAGGGTTTTCATAGGAGGCGGGCAATACCCCCACTTTGTGGGGGGGCCGGTTCAAGCTCTACCAAATTTCCAAACGACTCTTCGCCACCACCCACACCCAGCTTCCCGCCCTATGACGTTCGGACACTTCACTTCGTGGCATGCGGACGACCGTGGCTACTATTCAGGGCCCCGCGGCCGACGACGACGGCGTGCGCGCGCGAAGAAAAAACGAATGTGTCCCGCATGGTATTATTTGACAGGGATGATGGCCCTGGCAGGTGCGCAACCGTTGTTGCAGAAGTTCGAAAAAGTTGCTCGCAAAAGCCCGTTTGACAGAAATGTTTAAAAAGTGTTGGGTTTCCTACGAATCCGCAAGAGCGCGCGGGATGAGATTTTGACATTTTTTGTTGAAAAACCATTGGTTTTTTGATGTTTTTATGTTAAAATCGCTGCGAACACTAAGGTTTTGGAAGGATTTCGTCTTGCGCGCGCGAATGTCCACTTTACCTTATTTTTTGCAAGGGATTCTTGAAATTTGATTATATTAGAACAAGAAATGTCATTTTATAGTGTTTTTTGCAAGGGAAAACGGATTACAACAAAACAACCGGATCTGGATCACATCGTTTTACCTGAGGTTTCCTCACGAAAATGATGAAAATGTAGCTGCGGCCTAGGCGGCGCAGGGGGGGCGTGCACCAGGGGGCCCAACAATAATTATTCTTTAGAAGTAATAATATTCAACAACAATCATGTTAAGACTGATCGCTATTATCTCTTCGCGTGTCATTCAATATGCATATCCCAACCCCCCCAAAAAAACGCCCTCTTCGTCTTCCATCGTACCCCCTTGTGAGGGGGGAGATTCATTCCCTGCCACGAAGGGCAGCAACAGGGCCACGAAGGGCACCGAGCGAAGGCGACCGCGGAACCATTACGGGCAGCGAGGGGCACCGAAGGCGGGCGAAAGGCAACGAGCGGCGACTGCAGTCCATAACAGGCTGGCCGGGCGGGCAGGCCCAAACGGGCGGGTCGAGCGGGCGGGTCGTTGAAGCGTAAGTTTTCCTTGAACCACCAGGCAATATGTAGCGGGAGCGCGATTCCTGAGTGTCGAGGAGCGGCATCTGGATAAATTGTGAAGAAGTATCAGGCGGGAGCCGCGATTCGGTGGTAAGTTGCGAAGAAGGCCCAAGCGAGAGCGCAATTCTCAAATAAATTCTGCAGAGGTTACAAGCGTGAGCCGCGATCCGGTGGTAAATTGCAAGGAAGTCCCAAGCGAGGGCGCGATTCTTCAATAAATTGTAAGGAAATATCAAGCGGGAGCCGCTGTTGTTGTAAACCGGGGGCCAACGACACAGTTTGACCCTCAAGACTTTCCCTGATAAAAACAAGGTGCGAGCCCCAGGAAAGGCACTTCAATCGAAAAAACAATGTGCACCAGACAGGGGGGGATCAACAATCATAATTCTTCAGAAGTGAGAGTTCAACAACAACAGCAATCTAAGACTGTTCGTTCTTCATTGCCCGCGTGTCATTCAAAACGAGTTGCCCACACACTCAATGCCCGCCCTTTTTGTCTTCGAACACACACCATTTGGGAGGATTCTTTCTCTTTGCGGGGGGGCGGCGGGCTCAGGCAGGCGGGCAAACCTGAACGGGCGGACAATCCTTCGTGGGCGTACATGCGCCCGCCATTGGAGTTGGTGTGGGCCCTGCAAAAAGAATGGGAGAACGAGGGAGAGTGGGAGGAAGGGAGGGGGAGGGACGAAGGAAGAGGGAAAACGCCAGGAGAGAAGGAGCGAAGAGGGGGGAGATTGATTAGAGGCAGAGAGAGGGAGAGAGAGAGACAAAAAAAAAAAACAGATAAGAGAGGTAGAGAAAGAGAGAGAGAGAGGGGAGAGAAAGAGAGAGAGAGAGAGAACAACCAAAAAAAGGGAGGAGGCAGGAGAGGGGAGGGAGAAGGGAGGAGGGAGAGAAGGGAGATGGGATGGGGCTGAGAGGCATAAGGATGAGGGAAGAGAGGAGGGAGACAGAAGGGAGGAGAGGAGGGAGGAGGGAGGAGGGAGAGGGGGGAAGAGCAGGAAGTTAAGAGCGTGGACGTTCGAGGAAGTCCTAAGCGAAAGCGCCGTTCCTGAAAGAAGTCTCGGGCGGGAGCCCACGACGGCCGGGCGATCCCCTGACGGGCGGGTCGGGCGGGTGGGACATTCAAGCGGGATGCCTGAGTATGGCGAAAGCGCGATTACTAAGTAAATTGTGACGACGTCCTTGGCGCAGCATGTTTCCTGAGCGTCGACAGCGCGGTTTCTGAATAATACATTGCATGGAAGTCACAGGCGAGAGCGCAATTCCTAAATAAAATGTGAAGGGTTCTCTGGCGGGAGCGGGGGTCTGGATTAAATTGCGAGGAAGTCTTGATTCAATTGCGAGGAATTCTCAAGCGGGAGCGCCGTTCCTGAGTAAATTGTGAGGAAGTCTGAAATGGGAGCGGGGGTCCTGACTAAATTGCGAGGAAGTCAGAAGCGGGAGCACCGATCCTGAGTAAATTGTGAGGAAGTCTCAGAAGCGGGGGTCCTGAACAAATTTGGAGGAAGTCTCAGGCGGGAGCCGTTGTTGTTGTAATCCGTGGGGCCAGGGGCCCAATTTGAGCACCAAGACTTTCCTTGTCAAAAAACAGGGTGCGAGCGTCGAGGGGCACACTTTGATTGAGAAAAACCATATGCATCGGTGAGGGGGATCAACAATAATTATTCTTCAGAAGTGAGAACTCAACAACAATAGCAACAGCAACATCAACAGCAACACAACAGCAACAGCAACATCAACGACAGCAACAACAACCACACCAACAACAAAAACAACACACACACACACACCAAAAACTACGACGACGACAAGGACGACGACAACAACGATAACAGCAACCTCATCATCAGCAACATCATCAGCAGCATCATCAGCATTGTCATCATCATGAACATCATGCTCGTCATCATAAGCATCAGTATCAGCTTCATCATATCAGCATCAGTATCATCATCAGCAGCATCATCATCGTCGCCGTCCTCCTCCCCTTCCCCCCTCCCTCCTCATCCTCTCCTTCCTTCACCTCCGTCGTCCTCCTCCTTCTCCTCCTCCTCCTCCTCCTCCTCTTCCATCTGCTTCCTATTCCTCCTCCTCCTCCTCCTCCTCCTCCTCCTCCTCCTCCTCTTCCTCCTCCCTTCTCCTCCTCCTCGCTCCGCTCCTCCTCTCCTCCTCCTCCTCCTCCTCATCTCCCCTCCTCGTCCTCCTCCTCCTCCTCCTCCTCCTCCTCCTCCTCCTCCTCCTCCTCCTCCTCGGTCCTCGGTCCTCGGTCCTCCTGTCCCTCCCCGTCCCCGCCCCAATCCATCCTCTGCGAGGCCGCAGGAGGTGTGCAGGTCCGCGGGCTCCGCCTCGCGGGCGGGCACGGCCCCGCCGTTGCCGCTCCTCCGGGGGCGGGGGGGGGGGGGCAAAGACGAGGAAGCGGAGGAGAGGAGGAGAGGAAGAGCAGTGGATGATGAGGAGGAGGATGGGGGAGTGAGGGGGAGAAATAGATGAGGAGGAGGAGGAGGAGGAGGATGTAGAAGGAGGAGGAGGAGGAGGAGGCTAAGACGAATCGATATCGAATCGGATCGGGTCGGTCGGATCAGCAGGGCGGGGGCTCGCAGGGTCCTCGAGCTAGGGCTACAGGCCCAGGCATCGCCAACGGCAACTGTGTGGCGGACCTGCTGGCGGAGCCTGGCACAAAAACAGTGCTGTCGGCTGATCTGAGAAGCAGTATCTACCAGACCGATGGTGATGACATGCAAACAGGAGGAGGAAGACGATGATCCGCCCTCCCCCCCCCATCGCCTGGCATGACTTGAGCGCCTGGACATGCACCGACTGATGCTCACAGAAATCGTGCCCTTGTGTGGGCGGCGCGCACAAGGGGGTGGCACGAGGGGGGCGGCCTTCCACGAAGGCAGGGGGGGCAAGGCCTTCTCGGAAGGCCCCAGGGGCTTCCACGAGCCCTTCTGAGGAGCCAGAAGACCCACTGAGAATCCCCCCGCCTTCTGAGAGCAACCCCTTGCTGATTCGAAGGCCACCCCCGACGGGCCACCACCTCCTGCAGAGCGCTGAATACAAGAGATCGCGCACCCGAAGGACGACAGGCCTCGAGGCGAGCCCCTCCCCCGCGCCAATCGCAGAATTCGGAGGTCTCCGCGGAGCGAGGGGGATGCCACCGCGAGGGCAAGGGGGGCGAAGCCCCTGCCAGTCGTCTGGCGACCCGCGGTGGGGGAGGAGGGCGCCCGCCTCCAAGACGGCACGGCGCTGCCGTGGCTCCACGCGCCCCTCCCCCTGCGGAGCGGGGCGGACCCCCGGGGGGCCTCCGCAGCTCCGAGGCCCAGGCACTGGTGGCGCTCCCAGAAGCGAGTGCCGCTGCGAGGGTGGCCCCGCCTCTCCAGCCGATTCTCACGGGTGGAATTCACTCTTGTTTGATTCGCGGGTCGAGAGCGCACCTCTTCCGGTCGAAGCTAAGCGGGCCGCGCGAAGCTTGAAGTACCCAGAGATGAGGGAGGAAAAGGGCGGGTGGAATACACAAGCAGTGGGGCAGCTGTGAGGCGGCAGCGAGATGGCTGTCGGGTCATGCCGACGAGGGACCGCGAGACCGCCACGAGGTGCTGGCGGCTCGCGCATCCCAGCGAGGCGACCGCGATGGGCCTAGAGGAGGAGGAGGAGGAGGAGGAGGAGGAGGAGGAGGAATGAGGAGGAGAGGAGGAGGAAGAGGGGGAATTGGGGGAGGAGGAGGAGGAGAGAGAGGAGTGTGAGGTAGGGGAGGAGGAGGGAGGAAAAGGGGAGGAGGAGGAGGAGGAGGAGGAGGAGCAGGAGGAGGAGGACACCCCGCGGATGGATGCGACGGCACCCGCGAGGCAGCAGCGGGGAAGTCACCGAGCAACTGCTGTAGCCACGGGGCAGCTGCGAGGTAGCCGTGTGGAACACCTCGACAACGTCGCAGCTGCGATGCTTCTTGGCATTAGCTACTGAACTGCTGCTGGAAGTCCGGGATGTCACGATGAGCAACAAGAAGGCGTCTTTGGGGTGGATGTGACGTTGACGCAGACATGGGACATGACGTGGACGTGCAGCCGCGACGCCGCACCTCTGAGGTAGCCACGGTTCGGCTTAGAAGTGAAAACAGCATACTCGTGAAACGTCCAAGCCCCGCGCGGACCTCGACAGGATATGCTTGTGCCATCGGCCTTTCTTCGACGGCTGTGAGGCGGCTGCGATGGCACACGCTCCCCGGAGCGGCGGACCAGTGGGGGCCGCGGCGCACCACGTCTGGTCATAACGGGAGTGGAGGGGCGGGAGCGATCGCGGACGACGGAGCGGACGACGGCCACCCTGCCTGCTCAGCGGACGGCCGCAGGAGCCCAAGAGAGCCAATTGAATGAAGAGACGTGTGCTGACGTCATGCCGCCCCTCCTCCCTCGATCCCCTTTGTGCTCCCTCTTCCTCCTCGTCTTCCTGCTCCTCCGTAGCCATCTTGGCTCATGCCGTGCCGCGCGCGGCCGCCCCGCGGCTCAAGCCGG